TTAAAAAAACTCATATTTTCAAAGTTCTACTTCCAGATTAGCTTCATGAAGCCAGATTACTGTAAAAGAAAATCTGCCTTGATTCCAAAATAATGGATTTTTTTATTTTAAACTCTGTAAATACCCGATATAAACAGACTGCTTTCTTCCACGCAGCTCGGACGTGGAGAGCGTGTCGATCAGGCGGTTAAAAGGCGAGTCACGCGTCCCTTCTTTGTTTTTACACCTCGTCCTTTACCTTCCTCTGACCCAGAGTACGGAGGATCGACGGGGAAACACTCAAGTGTCTATTAATGCCTAACAAGTATGCATGGCTGCAGTCAGCGGGATGCAGAGTCAGCCGATGTTGTGATTAAATTGTTCAGATAGCGGACCGATTCTCTGATCCTGATGCAGAGATTGTTCAAGGGCAGGAGGGAAACGCTCAGAGCAGGGGGAGGGAACAACAAGAGATTACTCTAAAGGTTAAATTGAGAAAACACGGCGGAAATATCTGTAAAAAACCTCAAAATCTGAAAAACCGTTTGTTTTACTTGAACATGAATCTGTCTGTAAACCCAACGAGAACAATACGTTTACTTGGAAGCAGGAACTCAAGATTGAGATTCAATCAGAAGTCGATGATTGCTTCAACAGGAATCCTTCATGAAGACCTTTTTCTGAGATCAATGTATTTGTATGGATGGTCCTCTTTGAAATAAATACATAATAAACCAAAAACCTTGAGCAAACCTGAGACAAATTATAAAGAAAGACGCAGCCTTGGCAAGAGCGGAGAGAATCAAAAAGTGATTATTCTAAAGGTCAAGTTGAGAAAAACACTGAAAGAATATCTGTAAAAACTCAAAATCTGAATTCAGGTTTAGACTGTTTTTCTTTACTTGAATATGAATCTGTAAACCCAACTAAAATAAGTTTACTTGGAGGTCAAATGAAGCAGGAATTCATGATTCAGATTCAATCAGAAGTCGATGATTGCTTCAGCAGAGTTTGAAGACATTGAGAAAACAGACTAAAGATAGAAGGACGCAGCTTTTACAACGAACCACCTTCAATCCGTTTGGCTCCAGCGTTGCTTCCCTCCCTCCCTCCAACCTGTAATCCTCACTGGCCAAGTTTGATTTCAAGGTGCACATACCGCATGTGGCTTTCTGTGGCCACAGCAAAACAAACAGAGAGTCTCTTATCAGAACGCCACGACGCAGAGACATTGAGACCCACCTGAGAATCCGGCCCACCGCCAATCTCAGCCTCTCTGTCCTCCCCCCTCTGTGTTCTCCCCTCTATCCTCCCCCTCCTCTTATTATAGGACAAGGAGGTGAATCTGGAACAGGTGCATCGTCGTATGAACAGTCTTTTGGACGAGGACTTGGTCCACAAGCAGATCCCAGGTCCGTCTATCGAGATCTCTGCGCTGGACATCGGCAACATGCAGCCCAGCCAGGCCTCTCTGATGCCCTCGGACCTCGCTTTGACCACCTTTCTGCCAGGGGAGGGGGGTCCGCCGCCTCCTCTACCCCACCCTCACCATGGGGGGTCCATAGGGAGGACGCACCACCTGTCTCAGGCTCCTGGCAGCAGCACGTTGCCCCTCCACCTGCACCACCACCACCACCAGGCTCTCAACACCATGCAGTGCAAACACAGGCAACCCAACGGGGGGATTTTCCGTCAGAGTCCTGGCAAGACCCCCACCCAAATGCCAATATCCTACCAGGGAGTCTCCGCAGGACCCATACCCGAAGTCATTGATGCCACACACAGTACGTCCATTTAAAAAGGATTGTTTTTCCTTCATAGGTGAGTCGCACCTCTGGACTATGGTTTAAAAGGTCATGTTTAAAAGGTCATGTTTAAAAGGTCATGTTTAAAAGGTTATGTTCAAAAAGGTTATGTTTAAAAGGTCATGTTTAAAAGGTCATGTTTAAAAGGTTATGTTCAAAAAGGTCATGTTTAAAAGGTTATGTTTAAAGTTCTCCGATCAGAAACAAAAAGAGATTATTCTAAAGGTTAAGGATCTCCTATCATGTAAAGTGCTATACAAATGTAATCTGTTGTCACTAAATTGAAGCCATCTCCTCTCATGTTTAAAGATCTCTTATCTCTCCTGGTAAAAGATCTCGTATCCTGTTTAAAGAGGAAGTCATCGATGCCACACACAGTACGTCCAAAAGGATTGTTTTTCCTTCATAGGTGAGTCTCTGGACTTTGGGTTTACAGATCTCCTATCATGCTATGTGTGTGCATACATGTCCATGATGTGTTCTGCTCAAAATACCAAACACATATTATGGGTCTCAGATACAGAAACATAAAAAACATATCTGTGATGTTTTTTCCTCAATACTCATATTTCTGTATAAAAGACATCAAAAGGTGCAATGTGCACGATGGGAGACCTTTAGATACGAGAGGAAAACTATTATAGGAGAAACGATATGTACAAAGAAAAAAGTTAGCTTTTGTATCTCACTATCTGAAAAAATATGGGTCTTGGTTTG